AATTAATTATAACTGAGATGTTTCCCTCATTTGTGTGTGTATGTATGTGTATAAGCACTAGACTTGGATAAAGATCAAAAAGGCAGACTATATCTAATACAGTTCCATGAGTAATTTTGAATGCAGTGATCTACAATAAGAATTTTGTCTTATTCTAAACCTTTGTTTAGTTTGAGTCTGTCAAGTACTGCTTCTGTTTCTTGAATTTCCTTTTTTACTAATCATTGAGTACAACCAATCTGAAGCAATATTCAGCCAAAATCAGAGGGATTACTAAAATTAAGAAATACCATAGAATCATAAAATGGCCTATGTTGGAAGATGTCTTAAAGATCATCAAATTGTTCTGACATACAGAGCTTATACCACAAGTAGCCAGCCAAAGTGGTTATAAAATTGACTTAAGATATATAATCAGTAGTTTTTACCACTGTATTTTCTAGATCAAGATTTTAATGGGCAGCTGGTATGTTACATAGAATGTAAACAGATTAAAACAGACATCATAAATCTTAGGGGTTTTAGCAGAGGGAGAACAAAAACTTGAGTTACATGACTTAATATAATTTGCTGTAGTCATCACACTTGTTCTACCTAATGCTCTCTTGCCGTTACTAAATGGAGGTGCATGAGACAGTGGGCAGCACCATTTTTGAATACGGGCTTTAAACTCTGATGTCTTTTAGCCAGTGTGCTGTGTAACTACAGACAAGATGAAGCAAGAATTCAGGAATATATGGCTGTTGGCCTGCCCAAGTGAATTTAGATTGCATTCACAATACTGAAGATTGGTGTGTACTCAGCCATGTAAAGGTGTAATGTCCCCAGTCTGAAGATTTCACTTCTTTTCAACCAAAAAACTTCCTTTTCTTGATACTGAATAAAAATGTAACAGCATTCAAAGTTTAATTTTACAAAACCTAAATCTTTACTCTGATGCAACTGTACCAGACAACATAAATATAGGAAAAAAATAAGTACCTAATACATCTAAAGTTATGTTCTATGTACCATTTCTGTGAAGATTCTTAGATGGCCTTTTGTAAAACCTGAGGATGTGGAATCAGAATTGCAACAGTGAAGTTAGATGCTAAGCAGTAACTTGAATTTACAATCCAAATAAGATTAAAAAAGTTTTGAGGCATGGATATTATTTAAAACTATTGCTCCCCTGTATGTATAATTTCCTTCTTCTTCACTCCTGATAGCCCTTTGATAGCTCTGAGCTTCTACAGTTGAGATACTGGTTGAGGTGTATGACACACTAAGTGATTTATGCATGCCTCAACCACACCTTGTAAGCATTGATCCAGTGGAAAATGATTGTGAAACTACACAGCATGTGAGTGAAGCGTAGCATAGAAGGAGCTGTTGACAATACATCTTCCCAGTTCTGGTTACTGGAATCTTACCTTCTGATTTTCAACTTCAGTGTTTCCCCAAACTTACCCCGATAGCTGGTATGCATGCCAATGCCTGCTTGTGGTTACTATTTTCCAGTGCAACTCAGAATCTAAAATCAGCCCACAGCTTCTTTCCTCTCAATTGGCAGTGTCTTAAAGATTCCTATTCTCAGCTTTGGAAAAAGAACTGCACATTCCAACCAGACATTTGAAAAATAACCAGGCAGAAATCATCTTACTTTTCTCTCTTATCTCCCTCATTCCCCTGCCGTGCATGAGCTTTTTATTTATCTCTGCCTGTATATAGTCTATTAGGAAAATGGTAATGTAAGTTGCAAGAGCTGGATACAAAGAGCTGAACAAAATACAGCTGCTTCCTCTAGGAAGGTATCTTCTAAGTGAATAGCTTTCAGTCACAAAACTGTTAAAGAAATGTTCTCAGAACAATTACAGTGTCATTTTTGGCTGTCTGCTTGCACTTCTTCTGTTTCCCTTACTTCTTTCACCTTTTGATACTCTTCCACTACAATCTGCACTTTTGTGCTTCAGAGAGGGTTCCCATTGTGCTCTTCCACTTCACCTGTATTCTTAAGACCCATATTTAGTCTGTTAAACTTTTCCAGAGGGCATCCTATATTTTTGAGCCCTGATGAATTGCTGTTCCTTCTTCAACATAGCAGCTTCTGCCTGAACCTCAGCTTCAGCAGGGTCTCTGAATCTGACCTGGCTTTTTTCTCACTGTAGCTTTGCTTAAGCTGCTCTATTTGAGGAACAGCTTGTTTGATTTCCATGCTTTATTGTCTAGCCACAGCAGATTGATAGATATTTGGTGACCTATTTGGATTATTTGTAGAACACAGGTTTATCATGAGTTGTTTCAGCAGTAGCATAACTGCAAAAAAACCCATACAGCCTTAATTTGAAAATGAGTGATGAATTGCTTTCCTGGGTAGGTCTTAATTACACAGCATTATACTATATTACTAATAACTTGATTAAAAAATACTAATAAATACTTTAATTTTCACTTAACCTGCAGCTGACTTTTGTTGCAAAAATAGCCCTTTAAACTACCAGTAGTTTCTTCTTGTGGAAAGGTAAGTTAATTAATTAATCTGTCATTTTTATTTATGATATGGAAAAAAATTTAACAACTTACTGCTAAATGTAAATCGCTAACTTAAAATACCTTCTCTGAAGTTGTTCTAAAGCTTAAAATCCTATTTAACAGTGAGCTGGCACTACATTTACTACCTTCTCTACTGATGTTGAGATTCTGTTGTTTTTACCACCATTTCTGTCTAATGCACTGTAGATTTTCATACTGCCCCTTGGCACATTAAATAGCTTAAAACACTAAGGCACATTTTATTTAGGTGTTAACTTACCCATGCTGCAAGTATTTAGCTCTCACACTGTCATATGTGTTACTCACCAGATCTCTGCATTTTCCCTCTTCTGTTTGTTTCTCCCACTCACCCAAGCATGAGCAAACTACTCAAGGAACAGACCTGTTGCTGCGTTGGTCACTGATAGGAAACTGATGCAGTCAGAAATGTAGTCATTTTATTGAAGGTTTTGCGTGTTATTTGGTGGTGAAAGCAGATTCCTTTTATCCTATTAGTAGGTCAGTTATGCCATCAGTGGTGTAAATTGTGCAGTCCCTTATGTAATAATTTTGTGGCCATTCATATCCAAAAGCAGACTGTGACAAAATGTTCTTTGTCATGGTCTGTAGAGACATTTGTGTTTTCATCTCTTGCATGTAATGGGAAGTTGTCAATGTTTTGTATTTGTCATCATTGCTCATTACACTGAACTTCATGCATTCGTGAGAAAATTCTTCCCAAACAGTTCTTTGCTTTTGTTCTGACTCTTTCCTTGGTCTCATTCCTTTTCATAAACGCTCTTCAGCAACTATCGGCAACTAATGAGACTTTGCCATAGTGCCTTCCTTCGGGTTTTGTTTTGGTTGGTTGGTTGGGATTTTTGTGGGATTTTTTTTTTTTTTTTGGGGGGGGGGGGGGGGGGGGGGGGGTTTTTTTTTTTTTGGTTTTTAGTGGTGGGTTTTTTTGTGGGGGTTTTTTGGGGTTTGTTTGGTTGAGGTTTGGGGTTTGGTTGGTTGAGTTCTTTTTGGGTTTTTTTGATTCGGTTTTTTGTTTTGGTTTTGGTTTTTTGTTAGCTGAAGAAGCATGGTATATTTCTAGCAACGATTTTTTTTTTTCATTAAAAACCAACTTATGTAATGATTATCTCAGTGTGATTCAGATATCTGTGTACAGGGCCTAATCAATCCTTGACTGTAATATACATACAGGCTTCCAGGTACCCAGTAATGAACTCTGGCATTGACTGAGGAAGAAGATTCTTTTAACAGTATTCCTTGGTGAGCTGTTAAAATACAACAGTTTCCGGTACTCCAGTATGCTTAAGTATACACATTTATACACATTTCCCACCCTGCATTAAGGATATCCTCACACGTATACAGTTCAGCCTTGTTTCTGTAGTTAACAAAGGAATCCTAGACTTCTCAGCTTTCGAGAAAGAGTATCTGGCAACACTGAAATTACCTGGAAACTAGAAGTAACAGCCTTTATTCTTCTGGTTTGATAACGCAAATGTCAGTATCAGCTAGTTGAGTTTTGTTTTGGGTGAAACTCGGAATGGTGGAACTCTGAAACGCTTTTACACTTAACTACCCTGTTTGCAGCATGTAATAGATGTTGCCTTGATTTCTCTGGAGGAGGCAACTGGAGGGAAGGTGGCTTTTTCTGTGGTCTCTCTTACTCTCTCCTCCCAAGTGCCAGTGACCTCAATTCAGCACTCTCCTGTAATTTTCCTCACATTGCGCATGTTGCTTCTCTGCCATCGTTCCAGCAACGCCACTTGTCTACTTCGCTGCTGCCGTTCCGCTGGCGCGGCTCCGTTCCCGGCTTCTCGCCGCACCTCCTGACTCGGTGCGGGGGGACGTGGGGCTTTCCCCCCGCGGGGCCGAGCAGCGCGACTCGCGGGGCTCCGCAGCGCGGCTGGGATGCTCGGGGCCTTGCGGCCCCTCCCTCCGCCGCGTCGGCTCCTCCCATGCGAGCACGCGGGGCGGAGCTGCGCTTGCTGCAGGAACCTGCCCTGTAAGAGCCGCCTCTCGCCGCTGCTCGGCCCTGAGCCGCACCCGGTGCCGACATGGTCTCCTGGATAATCTCCCGCCTCGTGGTGTGAGTGCGTGCGGCCGGGGCGCGGGGCCCTTCCCCGGTGGTCCCTCGGGGGCCGCGGCGCAGAGCGGGGCTCTGCCGGTGGAGTCAGTGCTGCCCCGTGGGGCCCCACGCCCGGGCAGGGTCGGCTGCGGCCGCAGGCGGGCGGGTTGGCGCGGGCTGCTGCGGCCCAGGGCGGTGCCGCGGTGCTGAGCCCCGCCCGGAGACCGGCATCACGCCGGCACCGGCATCCCGGGGGGAGCGCCCGCCTCTGCGGCCGGGGACGGTGCGGGGCGTCGCAAGGCGCTGAGGGATCTGTTCTTCTTGTAGGCTGATTTTCGGCACCCTCTACCCCGCGTACTCCTCCTACAAGGCCGTGAAGACGAAAAACGTAAAGGAATATGTGAGTACGGGCTCGCTGTGCCGACGCAGCGCCCGCCTCGTCCTTCGCGGCCGCCTCGCAAGCCCCCGGCCTGCCCCCGGGACGATGGCACTCTGGCTCGGCAAGGGGCTCGGGTCAGCCAGGCCGCCCGAGCAGCAGCTCCAGTCGTCTCTGGAAAAGCTGCCAAGGATGGGTGCTTACTGAAATGGGAGGTTTCAACCCGTAAATGTGGGCTGTATTTTCTCAGGAGATGCTGAGTGAGGAAGGCAAAGTGGGGGAAACACTGCAGTCTGGAAGCATATGAAACTCCAGAACAAGCTCTTTCTTGTAACTTTATCCTTACTTTTTGTCATTTACTGCTTTTTCAGTGCTACTTTTGTTTTCTTCCAAAGGGTTGAATAATCCTGCTTGGTTTGTGGCTTCCTATCAACTTTGCTTGCAGTCAGTGTTTTATATTGGTCAAAACCTCATTCTCCTTTCTTTCTGGAACTGTTTCCCTCTCGCTGTCCACACCGTTGCTGCAATTACCATATTTAAAATACCAGAGTTTTTTGTAAGGTAGTGTGTTGCCTTCTTACAGAAGTGATGTTCTAAGTGGATCAGTTGAGACAAGACCTATGATGTGGAAAAGCATGGCATTAATTTTTGGGTTTTGTTTGCATTAATTTTTGGGTTTTGTTTAGCGATTCAATGGTATAGGTTTCCTGAAGTAGTTAGTCTGGATTGCTGCAGCAAAGCAGTTCAAGAAAATGTATTTGAACTGCTAAAACTTACATATTAATTATTTTGCTTTGAGAGGACTGCATCAGAAATAAGCAGTTAGATGCTGGACTGCCATCTGTCTAATTCACTTACATTTGAAGCGCTTCTTCCTTCTCAACACAAGTGGAAAACCAGGAGAAAACAGCAGAAGGGGCAATATATCTGTTCAAACTGTTCTTCATGTGGAAAGTCAGCAGAAAACTTGAATGCTGTACTGCCCATTTTCAAATCTAGCTCTTTTATGTACTACTGCTTGCTCATAGTGCTTAAGAACCAACATTGGTTAGGGTTTGTTGGTAGAGAAAGGTCTTAGAGGTCTATTAGTGCTAAAATGGTGTATTGAAGCTTGACTTGACACAGACAAAGCTACCACAAACAGTTTGTCAGTGGCATCAGAGTACAGTGCAAATTTACTGTTCTATACTACCATGAAAAAAAAAATCAGGATAAATCTTTGAGCAGTTGTGGTGAACTACTTCTAGTAACTCAGATTGTCCTAAAAGCAATTTCTTTCTTTTTACATGTCATCTTCAGCGTTGGTCAAGTCTGTATTTCAGTTATGCTTTTGCATTTGCTGAATTCATTTAGGTTCTTGGTGCAAGTTAGGGAGACTATATATGTACCTGAAGCTGGTCATCATCAGGGTGAGCAGCAAATAACTCCTGACTCCTTTTAGTGAATTGAAAAAAAAAAAAAATGCAGCCTCATTCAACACACAGTTTTGTAAGGTGTTTGTACAATCTGTCATAAGAAAAAAAACAGGGCTTCTTCCCATCTGCTTTCTGCTCTTTAAGCTTTTGGACATCTGCAGGGACTTCTGAAACTAACAGTAGGATCCTTCTAGTTTGTTCAGGAGCCATGCTTCTTTTTTTTCTTTGGCTTTAGAGCATAGGTTGAAGGGTGCCAGAAGGAGACAGAGACAAGAGACCTGTGTCCAATATCAAAGATGTGAACGTGAAGTTTATTTAAACAGTAACAAAAAAATGTTTTCTGTTCTCAGTTTATACTCCCAAGTATTCTGTTAGCAGAGTGAAAAATAAGCACTAAGCTTACACTAAGGCTGCCTACAGTGACCCCTTTTGAGTGACATCTACTAATATACGTAAATACAATAGTTTTCACCAAGAAAAAGCAGACACTGTAAGTTCATTACTTGGTATTTAATCCCATTTAGAGACAAAATGTCAGCCAGAGATCAGTCAGGATCCTTTTTTGAATTCTTTCATCAAGTCCTACCTAATCTCTTGCATAGAAAAGTATCTTCTGAACAGTTGATCATCTTACTATTCACAACCTTTTCCAGATGTTTCATGAAGATGAGCAGCACAGATCTCAACACTGATTCCTGTGGGATTCCACTGGTAACTTTCCTCATTGTGAAAAGTGGCCATTTACTTTTATCCTTTGTTTCCTTTTTTTTTAACCAAATGTTAATCCTCAATAGTCCCTTCATTTTTATCCCTGATAATTTTGTTTCTTTAAGTGTTTGTATAGACCTGTTAGAAACTATTTAGGAACTTCATATACCCTTGCCCTGTAAGGATAGCACTCTAGCTAGCACAGTCTTAGGGAAACCTAAGAGTTCTGCTACACTTGGTGAATTTTTTTTTCTGGAAAAAACCCTTAATCTTCATTTTGTTCCATATATGTAGTTATTTGCTAATTGCTTTTATTACTATTGCCTTCATTTTGCCTAATGCTGAAGTAAGATTTACTGATGCATAGGTTTTCTGAACTCTCTCACTCTTTTGGATCCCTTTTTGCAAACTTAGATTTATCGTTATTCATACACTTCTTCGTACAAGAGCTGATTCATGTTGCTGCACCAAGGACTTAATCATTCTTTTTGAAAACTTGCTTTAGATCAGCTGAACAACACCTAGTCTTGTCCAAACTGATGATACAAGAAAAAAAAAAAAGGCAGGAGAGAGCCATACAAGTTTTTGCTGTTTTCTGTTGTGAAAGAGAGAGTTTGGAGTGAAGTGGAAATAATTTGGATTACTAACCATTATCTTCTAAACCAGTCGCTGTGTTAGAGCAGCTGAAGGCAGATTAATTTTCTTTTATAAGAACCTTGTGGAGGGTCTTTCAAGAGCAAACCACCAAGTTTTCCAACACATGCAAGGTTGAGGAAATACCCGTTTTTATAGTATTTGCTGTAACAAGGATTGTCAACATGTCATTATTATATTAACATAATTGTTCATGTAATTTTAATAGATTGATTAATGTATGGATTTAATAGGTGTCATTTCCTTGATTCAGTTTAGTTCTTTTTTCCCATTCTTGATGACACTAAGAGTGTTAAATTGCTTTTAATTAAAATGTCCTCTTCATTTATTTTCTACTTACATTCTTTTTAAATTCTCAACAGGATAGAAAACTAGCAATTTCCCTTATAATTCAGCTGACTCCTCTTGAGGAGTCAGCTGAATGAATTCTTAGCTTGTAGCTGAGAAACCAGTTATCAGAACAGAAGTGTGCATCTGTGTTTGTTACAGAGGAATTATTTTGTGCCTTGAAAGAAATACTGCCCCAGGTAAGAGTATGAGGAAGTAGAGCGATAGATAAAAGGCATCCAAATGTGTCATAATAATACATACATCTACTCTAAACCTTAAACAAGAAGATGATTAGGTTGATGTGGCATGTTCTTTGCTTTTTTTACCTCTCTCAATGAGCCTTTATTTAAAAAGAATAATTAATTGCTTGTGTGATTTCTGGGAGTAATGATTAAGGCAAAGAATGCTTACTAATGAGTTAGCACAAAATAATATGTTTCTTGGCTTGCTGTTTTTCTTTTTTCCTAAGGAAAAAATGTACATCAGGAAAATAAAGGACTGCAGCTGAAACTTAAACTTTTGCATATGTGCGTGTATATATATTTTTTATAGCATTCACGATATAAGGAAGAGTGTAACTTCTTAAAGTGAATGGATAAATCCTTTTGGATAGGTCATTTGGGACCTTAACGCTGTTGCACCATAATGTTGCTCCAGGGCATGCATTCATCAATGTATCTGTATGTGTTTATTTAGAACACAGTAATCCTACATGTTTTCTCAGACCAAAATGTACCATTTAGTATGTGTCCATTACAGATTATATATGCCTTCTTTTTGAATCTGTCTTAATGTGTGGAGATGAGTAATTTATACTGAGAAGACCTTTTCCCTTTTTTTCTGGGTTCTGATGTATGTCCATTGAGTGACTGCTCTTTTGCAGGTGAAGTGGATGATGTACTGGATTGTGTTTGCCTTTTTCACCACTGCAGAAACACTCACAGACATTATTCTTTCTTGGTGAGTTCCTTAGTGGCACATTGTGGTTTTTTTTTGTTTTTTTGGGTTTTTTTTTTTGTTATTGCTGTGTTTTGTTTTGGTTTTTTGCCTTTTTTAAGCAGATAGGAGAAGTGTTAGAATGCTGAGGAAATAAACTGTGTCTCCTTTATGAGTTTTCAATCCCTGTGAAGAGTTATCAGGTTTCTAGATACTGTGTGTAGTGGCTGCCATCTTAGCTGTTTCAACTCCTTTGCTTGCAAAGTTAGGATAAATGCACAATATCTGTAAAAGGCACTTCATCCTTTCATAACTTGAAATATTGTTGAGAAGCTGTTAGTGTGGTACAGTTTGAAAAATGATAGTCTAAGAGACACCTTAAAATGGTAGAAGGAAGGGAGCTGTTTTGCTTTTTATGTGGAAGAACAGATCACATGCATTTGGTGCTGTGAGTGGTTTGCATGATGAACTTCACTTTCACTAGGAAGGGTGGGACAGGCTGTAATAGAAGGAAGCAGATTCATACTCCATTCAGTGTTCTGTGTCGTGCTTGGGAATTACAATTCATTGTTACAGGGCTTCACAACTGAACCTTTGAAACAGGGTATCTTCAGTTGCCTTGTTGCTTTAGTATTTGACCTTGGCATACATCTCTGAAACAATGTTAGTCAAGAGTTTCATCTTCTGAAGAGTCATGAGGTACTATACATGCCTTACCAAAGTGCTCAGCAGCTTTGTTTCTATCTGCATAAAATCTGAAAAGCAGACAAAGATCGAAACAGTATAAGCACTTCAGCTTATTCACATAAAGGACTTCTGAAAACTTCAGAAGTTTCTTCCTACTGAGTCAGTAGAGAATTTGCATTTACTTGTTTCAATCTCTGCTGCTGTATATTTACAGACTTTATTAGTTAAGGGTTAGAGAGGACAGGCATACCTTCTGCCTGCTCTTTTTCATTTACACTGGCCTCGCTTTTTTGTCTTGTCTGAGGAGTACCTGTTGGAAGTTTCAGAAACAGCCGTCAGCTTTAGCAGGAATGTGACATTATTGAGGTACATAGTTGAAAATTTTGGAAATTGAGAAGTGAAACTAATGTAATATTAACATCCAGTGGGTGCTGTCTGAAGAAACTTCAAAATTATGAGAGTAGCTATCAGATTGTAATTTGGTGTGTTTGCAGGGCTGAGAGATGCCCTGTTTATGGAGTTTTCATGGCTATGGATGAAAGACTAAATGATACTCGAAGAAGGTATGTCCTAGGATTCTAAAAAGGGTTCTCCTTTTCCGACCTGAATAATTGATTCTCTTGTTTCTGAGCCTTTACCTTGCCTACATTCTTTCTGCCTGTGCTGCTTTCTGCTAGTTATCTCCATCTGTCTCTGTGCTGATCTTGATTCCAGTTCTCCATCTTTCTCTCCTTTCTTCTTTTTTTTTTTTTTTTCTTTCCTCTTTCTCTCAGGTTTCCCTTTTATTTCGAGCTGAAAATCGCATTTGTGATTTGGCTGCTCTCCCCTTACACCAAGGGCTCCAGTGTCCTCTACAGGAAGTTTGTGCACCCAACGCTTTCCAATAAGGAGAAGGTACTTCCTTGTTGTTGTAAGATACTGACCTGTCTGGGAACTGACTGATTTCTAATTCAGTTATGCCACAATAAAAATTGAAATCAGTGAATCTTGCTTGTGCTGACCTTAGTGAATGTAGAGTGATTGTGTGTCCGACAGTGATGTCATACTGCAGCTTACTGAAGATTGCAGTATAGCCAATAGTTTGCCTAATGCTTAGAAAGCATGTTTGGCTAACCCAGTACATGAGCCATGTCATGAGCCCTTACAGTCACGTGTCAGTAGTTAAGCCTTTTCAATCACAATAGGAGGAGCATGTTTTGTAGCCAGTCTGTTTTTTCACTTTGTTGGTATAAGCAACTGCTTTGTTTCAGTTGTTATAATTTGGAAATAGCATACGGTATTTTAAAGCTGCATTTACATGCTTTCTGTAATTAGCAGAGAAACTCAAGTTACATGATCAATGACATCTGATGATAGTAGCCTTGAAAGAAAGAATATCCAGATGAGCTTTGTGTTTTTAAGGGTGATGATGGGGAAACTTTGATCACGTTTATAAGAGCAACTAAATGCCATGTTCCATGTTGCATTCCTAGGAAATTGATGAATACATTACTCAGGCTTGTGACAAGAGCTACGAAACCATGATGCGAGTTGGCAAGAGAGGGTTAAACCTTGCTGCCAATGCAGCAGTTACTGCAGCTGCAAAGGTAATGCAATGCCTTCTGTAACATTCATTAATTCTTCAGCAGTTTATTTTTGTGTACCGGCAGTTAAGTGCTGTGGGTCTGTTAGGGATACTAGTACTTGTTTGGCAGACATGTACTTTTCCTTCCTTCCAGTTTGCCCTGCAGTTAATCCTATCCTTTGACGTAGAAAAAGTAGAGGGGGAGCGGAGTGGATTTTGCCTTAACCTCTTGCTTGTTGTTTTCCCTTCTCTGTTTTTGTCAGAGTACCCTAGTGGGGGATAGGGCACCTTTGCTCTTCTTCTGAATGAATGATTCCATGTGAGATGATCTTGGTGAGGTGCCTTTCACCCTAATTTTATGTCCTCTTAGGGCCAGGGAGTTCTGTCTGAGAAGCTTCGAAGTTTCAGCATGCAGGATCTCACTATGATTCGAGATGAAGATACTGTGCATATGCGAAGCCGTGATCCACAGCTGCACCCCTCTGGTGCAAGTCTTCTGGAAACTATTGAAGACTCAGGTACAGACCACCTGCTGGGCCATTGTATGAGACCTCTGATGATGAGCCAGGAGAGCTTCCCTGAGCCTTGGGTCGCAGAAAGGAGTACAAGATTGTAAATTATCTGGGAGAAGTTGCATTGTCTTCCCTAGAGCCTTTTCATTTAATGTACATCTCTGTATTTATCCCATAATCATTATTCAGGATGGTCTCTCTGTTATGTATGTGTTCCTTGAGGATGGGCCATTTTAAGCCTCATGAGATTCTTTAAAAGCATTTGCTAAAACTTCTGCTCTTGTTCCTTAGCTTCCTGTTACTCCTCAGGAGAGGAGAGCAGTGTGGCACATCGGTCTAATGGAACCCCATCAGATACCAGAACAGACCCATCAGATGAAGATGCAGGAGACAAACTTCCTAAACGTACCCAGAGTCTCAAAACTCCTAAAAAGGTGATGAAAGCTGAAGTGAGTTGTATAGATAATTTCCAGCACTGACATTGATTTGTGAGCTTGGTTGCAAGGCTCTAGCTTTATAGTCTCAGCATTTAGAAGTTGTATATATAAATTTTGTTGGACTGTCTTTTCTAGTTGAATCCTACATCAGAGGACTTGTTGTCTACTTGTCTCTAGCTTTTACATTTTTATCATGCCTGTAAGCCTCCGTCATAAGCCAGAACCCAGCTTTTCTTTCATTTGGGTTTTGTATTGAAGGGTGGAGCATTAGATATTTTTAATGTGTTTTCTAGACAATATCCTCTGTCCTTTCTACTACAGTCTGAATACATAATAGTGACATTTATCCCTGGGACAGCCACTTTCTCTTAATCTAAATGCAGCAGTTGTGTACCCTCTTAGGCCTCCCTTGACTTTTACACATTAGGTATGGGAAATTACACCAGTCCCCACCTACCCCATTCCTGGAATTTTTTTTCAAAGTTTGAGTAACTAATGATTGTTCAGTTGTTTCCTTAAGTTAATGTGATGATCCAAGCTATTTACAGCCATTCATTCAGATGGGACATGAGATGCCTGAGTTCTTATTATTAAAATAAACTATACAGAAAAGTAAATGCAGCTGTGTCCAAGAATCACTTGAGCTTAGCAATTTTTTTTTCAGGTGTTTTCAGTTGTGTTTTATAGAAAATTCTTTTTGAGGTGCTGCTTTCCAGATCTTCATGCTTGCTTGAGTGTTTCTTATGGTTTGATTTGTACATGATAAAATGCTTCTCCCTTTTTATGAAGTTGGGGTCCTATTTGCTTGATTCAACTTGGACTTCTAATGTTATTATTTTTATCTAAGATAAAGAATGCTATTTAACTGACTCATATTGTCAAGCTAGTCAGGCTAAATATGAAACAGTCTGAAGGAAAGTAATTGCTAAGGGCATGATTTTAAGTTGTACTGTTAACTTGGTTTTACAGAGTATGGGCAACCTTTGCATGTGCTTAAGTGCTCCTTGTAAAAAAAAAATCACAGAATAATTGAGGTTGGAGGGGTTTCTTGAATTCACCTGGTTCAAACCTAATGCTCATGTAGACCCAGTTCCCAGGACCAGGTCCAGGTGGCTTTTGATTTTCTTCAAGAATGGATAGCTGTGTCCAAAGATGCATTTTAATTTAACTAGGATCTTTCTATGGCTTATTTCTGAGTTGACCCCTCTTCTTTCTTGTCTTCTGTATTAGGCAGGAGCAGGGAAACAAGAGGCTTAAATTTTGAGTGGAAGCTTCCTAGTGAGCACTTCTCAAAGTGAAATTGTAAAAAGACAGAAAGAACTCTTCTATGCTGTTTCTTCTGAATACAGAAGTACTGATAAAGCCCTTTGCAGGTGTACTGGCATTTTTGCTCAGATTGTTGGATCTTTGCCTCGGATGGCGGACTTGTAGGAGGTCTTTGAGATCTCTGAAATTGCCAGCCAGGGCTGAATGCATCATGGATTAATAAATTTGCTCTTCTTACCAATATCTAGAAGGAAAGACACCAAAGTAAAGCATGCAAATTAGTTCACGGTGTTTCTACAGCTTTCAGAGAACTGCACTGGTGATGGAAGTTAGGAAGCAGAAAAGTTAGAAGAGTGAAATGTTATGTGAATGTTACCAGTCAGAAATATCTCTGTTTAACCTTTTGTTTGGACAGCTGGCTTTGATTTTACTACTGTACATACCTTGTTTTAGAATGCCTTTTCCTGGTTGCTATTTTATGGATATGTTGAGTGATTTGTTTATTGGCAAAATAAAAAGAATGGTTAAATATCCTTTTGAGACAATAGATGGCATTAATAGGGTCATGTTGTAGTTGTTTTGTCCTGTTTTCACTCTGCATTCATGCATCTTTCTGTTACACATTTAGATGTTAAAATAAACTAGCCTAAGATGCCTCTTTTTATTTCTTCTCAGCTTCCGGTAAGAAGTGTAAAAGCCCGCCCTAAGAAGAAAGCTGCTGGCTCTCTTGCTTCTGGCGAGTCATCCTAAGGCGACCTCCCCCACCGCAGCACCTGTCTCTGTCCTGGGATTTGCCTTTCGCTTTTATGGGGAAACTCTCCAAAGGAAGGGAGCTGAGATTCTTGTACATAACCGATACTGCTTTACAGAGCTCATTCCAAGGCAAGGGGGAGGCTTGGATTCAGAAAGCAGAGTAGAGGATACAAATCCTCAGGAATTTTCTCCTTTTCATCTCTCTGTTGGAGGGAATGCTGATATGTCTGTACATAGCCAGTTGCTTTGGAATTCCCACTGTATAACTCTAGTTGAGAATCTTTGCTGGGAAAACTGACTAGGGTTGGAGACATCCATTGCACAGAAGCTGGAAAAATACTAGGCACTGGAGTTCCACAGGGTGGGTGGCTCTCTAAAATATCTTATCTTGCTCTGTGTATTCTTCTGCAGCTGTGTGTTGTTAAGAAGTGCCCACCATGAGTTGTATTCCTTAAGAATGGACCGTACCTGATATGTCCATCACCTTTGAGAAAGTAACTGAAGTGATGTATGCTGAGTGCTTTTGAACATAAAGGACTGGCTCATGGGGGGGCTAATGCTAGACTCCCACTACTCATACTGGAAGATGAAGAGATTGGTTTTGTATTTGATTTTTTCTGGAAGGTGATAATTTTTTCTGGAAGGGAGATAATAAGAAACTAATTAAGGAAATGTGCTATTACATGCACATTATATGATGGAGTAGGTAGGAGTTACTGTTGAGAAGGAAAGTTTGGCGTCTCTTAAAATTTTGGCTCTTTTTGAAACTGCTTGAATTTTATTTCAGGTCCTAAGCTCACTTTGACTCCTATGAGAGCATAGAATGAGATGAGTCCCATGCCGTAGGTCTCATGCAGGTCATGGCAAGCATACTCGCTTTGCATTTAGTGGTCAAACTCATGTAATTGTGTTGCTTGTCACTTCAGACAAATTCTAGCAGATGTCTGGGGAAAATCTTGTCTCAAAAAAGACATACGTGAGAATTTCATAAGCCCTCACCTCTCAGCTTTAGGAGAGTCAATCCTTAGGACATGAGAACTGAAACAGTTAATTTATTAACAGTTGAGTTCCTTTAACTCCAGAATTTCATTTATGGGGGATAAAAAACAGGCACTAGGGCTCGGTGCTGGTTAATACTGATTAATCTGTCCTCTTCATGTGTCCTGCTGCAACCGTTGCACAGATTTTCTGTCTGACATGTGCCAAGCTTATCAGTGTCCCGAGACTCAAGCAATACTTAACGCTTGGGAAAGAAAACTACAAGGAATGTAGAGTATGTATTGTGGGAGGGAAATTGTAGTGCTGCAGAGAAAATCTGCATAATGCCAAGCCATACTAGTCTCTTGAACATTGTTAAGGAGAGATCCTCTGTACACATGCCAGCTGAGCCAATGAAAATTTATGAGTAGGGTTCTTGTTATCAAGATCTATAGTGAAGGTGCACCATTATAGACATGGGTGGCTGAATGAATACTTGATGGTCTTAATTTTCACTGAAATTAGTTATCAAAGGAACCTGGCTCCTACATACAGGTGTTTGCATCCCATACTTTTGCTGTCACATTTCTGAAATGACACTGAATTATTCACAGAGCCCAATATTTTGCTGTTGACAAGGTATAAAAACACTTCTGCTGCTAATGCTCTATAAGTATCTCTGTCCTAGAGAATAGCCTTTCAAAAGTTTATAAAGTTGAAGATTAGGACTGAATTTTTTTCTTGTTTTCCATTGTCTTGGTGGCAAATTGTTTGCTGTTGAATTGACCGGTTATTTCAGGAAGCAAATTAAGTTTGGTTTACTATTTTTTGTAGTTCTTAAAAATTTAAACTTTACAGTCCGTGTTAGAGACTTGAATCTTGTCAGAAATATTTGTCCAGAATTATCCACAAGGCCTTATCCAGAAGCCAGTTGAAAATCCTTGATTTGGGTCTGTGTTTCATTAAAAAAACCCACTTATTTTGTTCTTTTTTAGTTTATTAGCAAACTTCTTGTCTTACTAGCACATGCAAATGCGTGTCCTGAAGCAGGAATACTTTCTGTTTCCAGAGAAAATTCCTCTCTCCAGAAAACAGATTAAATCTTTCATGGTTATGTGGAAGATCCACTTGTGCGGAATTGCTGTCCTAGACTTTACTGTACTGAGCAAGAGAGAACCATTGTTCTCTATGTACCAAGTATATCTATGACTGTGTTTCTTGATTTTTTTTTATATTAGAATTGTGCATAGCAAATTATTTATGTAAATCATTGTGAGGGACTTGATTTGGAAGCCAAGTCTCCCTTTGTGCTGATTTTCGCACTCTGATAGTCTATGATTACTGGGTTCCCACAGAGCGACTTTCCAGAATCTTCTCTAGAATCCTTTTATTTGTAGTAGCTTTTCTGCTTTGAAGCACAGGAAGAATTTCTGAAGATTCAGTTCAGGTATTTGGATTTATCTTTGTCTTCCTGAGCTGGGGCCTGTGCTAAGTAGCTTTTACATTGATGCTTGATGTCATTAGCTTGGGTAAATATGGTTCAGTTTTACTCTGACTTTTGTTTATACAGGGGAATTGGCTTTTGATTGCAAGAGGGAGTCTGCAGTAGAGTCAGGGACTATCTAATATGTGATATGAAGCTGATGCTGTCAAGCAGCACAACTTACCCAGAGCAAGACCAATGTCTTAGCATGAATACTGTTTTCTTCTTCTAGTACAAATGCCACTGCTAGATTGTGCTTTGCTTGATCAAAGCCACTGCAGATCTACCACCACCCATGTGACCTCTTAGTGAGTTTCTAGATAAAGTTCTGCATTGGATGCACTGTCTTGCATAGAAATTCTCTTGTTAATGAGAATGCTGAATGTGCCGTTTTGATAAAATGCTTTTATCAGCTGCTGTTCGGTGTTTTCAGCAGGAAATGCTGGAATGTAGTTTCTCTTCAGTATCATATGTGGGCTTCATCATGCAATTAAGCAAATATTTAAATTTTCACCTAGCAGTAGAACCCTGTTGTGTTTGGTAAATGTTTAGAGCCTTTTCCTAATATACTTGGCCATAGAGAGAAGTGCAGTAACAGAAAATGAACATGAGGGCTGAAGAGGGTGGTATGTGTATGTCAAACTTCGTGTGCCTAAAAGTTATCCTAAAATACCTGTATCATGACATACAAAGTTGAAGCCATGACTGCCTTTTGAAAAGAAATGTTTTACTTTCATGCTTTGTAGTAGTACAAGTCAGTGTTCTACTGTTGGAAAAGAAAATTCTGAAATTTGGTTTCCTGTGTGAGAAACTTAATGATTTGTTGCATAAACGGGAAAAATATTCTCTTGTTTGGCAGTAATCCTCCATAATGGGTAAGAAATGTGAAAATACAGGGAAGACAGCTGTCAGGTTTTAAACCTTTACACTTTACCTAAGCATCATTGTTACCTAGTTTTTTAAAATTGAGTTTGTGGTTCTCCAGTTTTACATTTATGGGACTGATTTCCTTTAGACTAGAATGATTTCCTTGGTAGTTCGGGCATATATATAGGGAGGGGTGCTGGTGTTCTTAAAATTGCAAAGCTTGTTCTGGGGAGCTTTCACCTTCTCTCATTTTAGTGAATTTATTTCTATTCATTGTGTTTTTCAGTGCAAAGCTTTCTTTTATACATTCCTGTTAGGAGTATGACTCCCTCACAATATACTTCCTTGGAAAGCAAGATTTCTAGAGAATCACAACTTTCCAGAAATGGCTATTTATTCTGTGCCGTCTTAATCAGCAGGAAATTTGGTGCCTTAGGAAAAAAGTAAGATATCGATGGAGAACTCTGCTGGTTCTCTGATCTACACATACCATTGTATTAAGGTAGCTCACAAACTTAACTGTTAAGTGTCATTGTGTGTTTGAGAGCAGCTGTTGAATTGAGCTAATGTTTCCTTTCTGTTTTCCAAAGTTGCATATAATGCCGGAAAGTGTGGATTGTTCCCTAAGAGAGAAATCTGAGGAAAAAAAAAGTTGTATTCTAATGGGGACACTGTATTGTCACATTCCTGCTTGCTGGAGAGATGCTGAATCACATCTCTATGTAACTGGTTTGTACTATAGCTTTTCTTGGTTTAGCTACTAGGAGTTTGTAATGTGCTGTCTGGCTGAAGCATCTTGTGGTGCTGGTTTGTGAGTTATCTTGCAAAGTCAGAGATGTGAAAAACCAGGAAAGCACTGCAAAATTACACAAGCTTCTAGAACCATAGAGGCGTCAGAGTTGGAAGGGGCCTCTGGGGGTCATCTTCTTCAATATCGCAACTCAGTCAGGACCAGTTCTAGTGTGCTATTTCTTGTCTGGAGTCTGCTGAGTTTAATGTTTAAGAGCTGATAACATATGCAGAAATGCATATGCTGTATGGGAATGTGCTTTAGTCTTACTGAGGAGAAATATTTCCTGGTCACTTTTCATCTGGAATTTGGCTCAGTTGCAAGACACTATAAACATAACTCATTCTTATGTTCTTATAGGTATTGTTAAAAAGCCTAGAGGCCTCAAAAAAGATCTTGAGGTATGCAGAGTAAATTGTGAAAATAGTTGGTTTTAACAGTAAATGGAGACAATAACTGCATGGCAGCTAAGAACCTGTCCTGTGAGATAGATAGCATTAGAGTAGAAAATGAGCTGTGTATGGTACAGAGTTGTCCAGTAAATGCTGCTAACTTTCTGAGCCTCAAGCAACACTTAAACTGTACATTCTACAGATGAGAGGTTGATTTATTTTTTGAGCCAGATTCCTCGCTTGGAGTCAGTCTCTGTCTCCCTCCCTCCCTCCCCGCTTTGCTTCCCCCCGCCCCCCTCATCCCTTTCAGACTGGACTTGAGCTACATACACTGAGATTCTTCAAACTTTCATCCCTTCAGAACAATAAAGATTTACCTCAGCAGGCAACTGATCTGAAGGGAGGACCAGATGAATATCAAGTATCTCTCATCACTTGTGTAGATGTGTTATGCTGGAGAAGCACTAGCAGGAAGCTTCAGGGGATACATTTGCCTGGGAAATTCTACCCTCTGCCCCCTGCCAAAGCCTTCATTTCTGGGTGAACCAAATGCTGGACTTAGTTACTCTCATATATACACAGTTATCTGTAGAATCCCACAATTCAATGTAAGAATTTCCAGTGCTCTATTTCTGATGATTACAGGAGTTAAACTAATACGAAGTGAAAAGAAGCAGTGGCAAATCGGTAGGGTTTTTGGGTTTGTTTTTTTTTTGCAACTTTGCAGATAAATTTAGGTCATTGCTATTTATATGCCTAAAATCTTTGCCTAAAGGTCCTTGCAAGCTGTTACTTTCTTACTCTCTTTCTGAGCTCCTGTTCTGTGAACTGGTTGTGGTTTTTATGTTTACTCTTCCTAAGCAAGGTCTGTCTTCCATTTTCCTGACTGTGGAGACTTGAAATATACTATAGTAGAGCTGTAATTTAGCCTTTTTTTGTTATTCAAACCAATGACCTAGATTGATACATGTAACTGGTACAAGGCCTAAGGCTAGATTCGCAGGTGGAATGTAAGCAACTATTGCAAATAGCATAGTTTGACATATTTCCCTTTTCTTGCAGTGGATCCTGGCTAAAATGTACTTACTGCAGATCCTTTGGATAAGGGCATTCTGTCAGGATTTGACCAAATAATGTTAGAAGTAACATTTATGGGAATAATGCAAAAATAAGTGAACACTAAAGGAGTAAAAGCTCAAGTCTTCTGTAATATATAACTGTCTGAGACTACTTAAAACACTAAAGCGTTTCTGGCAGCAGTGGAAATGCATTGCTATACTGGCTTAAAGAGGTATGGCATTCAGTCATGGTCTTTGTAGTAGGTTTGGGAGTAAAGTTGTCTGGATGGCAAGCATATAAAGTTTTACATACCAGGGAACTAAGTTTTTATCACAAGTAATGCTTAGTAACTTACCAAAAAGCAAGAAGTCAAAAAATTTGACTAAAATTATAGAATGGAAAGAAATTTTCCTGATCGTCAAACCTTGCATCGAATTGTAAACTTCCTGTATTCATGTTGCTGCCTTATTTGGGAAAGCACTGCATTAATGAACTCCTTATTTTTGACTCCTCTCTTACTTTATTTCTGAAATGAATATCAAATTGGAGATGCTTGGGTTTGACTCAGCAGTTTAACGTCCATGTGCCCGTTAGCACGGTGCTGACCTAGAGGCAGTACGGCACTGGGAGGGTTGTGAATTATATTTTGTCCACTAGAGGGCATAAGCAGAGAGCAGAGACGCGTCTCGTTTATTCATTTATGAACGTTGAACAGCAATATTTCCTAGGTATGACTGAAGGTCCTCCTTGGAGGTGAGGGGGAAAACAAGTTGGGGCTCTAATGGAGAACTATGAAATAATACTGCTGCTAACATCTGACTGAAAAGGCTATTCTGGGCATTCTAATTGAGCCACTATCCTGTGAGGCTTGCTGAGACAATACTGTTACGGAATAACTGTCCTCACTTTTGTTGTTGTTGTTGTACATTCAAACCATTTTCTAGTTGTAGGAAGCAGCTCTGAAAATGGCAATATTTGTGATTCCCCCCACCTCCCCACAGCCCTCTTTCCCCCTGCCGGCTTTTGCAATTAACCAATTTGTGTGTGTTGCTCTACCTTATACTCTGAATTTTAGTAGTATTTTCTGGTGAGGATATTTTCTTTCAGTTGAATCTTTTTTCTGTGGAAAGAGAAGCCATTTTAATCTAAAAATACAGATGTATCTAATGTTACTATGGTAATTTGTAACCATGGCAACAGAGAGTTAGCATTCTGAAGAACAGACAGATTTGGTTGGATTTTTGGTTGTGTTTTTTATTTTTTAAAGTCAATGACCTAATTCATGGTGCACATATTTCACAAAATGAATTTGACTTTTCATATTTGTTAACCATGCGGGATAATAGGGGTCCAAGGGATTTTGATATTTTTACAAGGAAAAGCTGATGTTAGAACATAATGTAACAACGTTTGAGAAATGTTTCCATTGTTGAAAAATTCTTTTATTTGCAACAGCACAGATGGAGATTTGCAGACTGAAGGAGGATCCAAGACATACCAGGAGGTTTCTGTAGGAAAGGGAAATATAATCTAGAATAGTCCTGGGGATTCTTCAATGTCAGACTTCGGGGGAAGAAACGAGAAGAATAAAATATATTGAATATGATTCTATTTTACCATCATATGATCAGTATTAGGTAAACCAACACAGTGCTTTTGGGCAGGTGCTAAATTTCAAGTACGAGTTGTGGATTGCCCTGACATTCCCCATCCTAAGAGCATGTAGTGCATTCTACAAAACATTAGTAATGAATCAAACAGTTATTAGAAATTAACTTATTATTGAGGGTGGTAGGAATGGGCTTTTGTGGCTATGCTTTGTATGTAGTGTATTTATCTCTGCCAGTATAGAGCTAACAAAGGTTCTCTACTGTCAACACTCAATGTTGGTTTCATAGGAAGTGTACTGATATAAGTTTAGCCAAAACCAAACCACAGGTTTTTTTCCAAGCTTTTCCTTTTTTATAGGCTCTGTTGGGGAAACTAGCAACTGAATGGAAAGTATAACATTGCTGCTATCGCTTGCTTATTTGGGGCAATGAATATATTGAATTAAATAAAATTAAGCACCATTTAATAGCTTAGTTTTTGTAAAAGCCAGCTGTTATGACCATTTTGTATTTACCACAAGAATACGGTAACTGATGCATGCAGCCATTGTAGTGCAGGAAGGCTGTTACCTCTGAAAAGGGAAAGCAGAGAAAAGGCCAACGCAAATGGAATTGGTTCAGATAGTGCAGTCTCCTGTCTCTGATACTGCTTAGTCTGTTTGATGACCAGAGGGTAGTTTGGAATTAAACACACATTGAAAAATGCCTCATCATGATACTGTCACGTTTTTACCCATGTGCTGAAGCACAATGGTGTTAAATGACTGGGTTAATGAAGTTTTCCTAAGAGGAGAAGGAGTTAGAATTCTGTCACTAATTTTTGTACTCTTTAAGTTTGGTCACTTGCTACACTATAATGACTTAAATGTACAAGACCTAAGTCTTGTGTTGTTCTTTCTTTAATACCCAGACTCTTCTTAGGTATCTTTTAACATTCTGTTTTTTGAAGTGCCTATTTTAAAGGCCCCACTGCTTATCTTCCATTTCTATCCAGAATATAATACAAAAGGTTTTATCAATGCAGATGTGCTCTCATTCCACAGGGTGGCAACTAGTCCTTATTTCTCTTCTCAATTGTTTTGACATTTCCACTAGAAGTGGCTTTCCTGGCTAAATTCCCTAAGTCAGGGTCATACACATGGGAAGACAGCCCTTCTGTTGGGGTTAAAGAGTATTTGGAAAAGCTCATTTTACTATATTTATTCAGGCTGTATCAAGTTGCTGAAGATGGGACCAAAAAGGCATAATCTAAGGACAAAATTAAGAACACTACTTCTTACTACTGTCTCATGTGGGTCTCTCTGGTAAGTGGTACTCCCAGGGACAATTGATCACAGGTCTATGATGGCACCTCTAAAGAAAAAGTTGCTGTGATAAGGTTTAGTTATTGATGTGGGTGGGGGGAGAAAGGTTCTGGAGGTTATTTATTCACTTTTTATTTCCAGTTTATTTTGACAGCTAAATGTCTCAGATACTTTGAATTTATATCTACATGTGTCATCAGAATAGGCTTGTAGATTTATTAGTTGAAGGTAGGGCTTTTTGTTCTTTGTTAGTGAGTTTACATACCTTTCTCCCCGCTCATGTCCCAATAGCAAGAAATTGGTGCCTGTGGATATTATTTTTTAAAATGCTGTTTTGTTATCTTTTCAAATTTTGCTCCTAAATCATTTTAGTTTATCTTCATGTCTTATGTGTTTAGTCTTCTGCCTTTCCCCCTCTTCATTGTTGAATGAATAAATATATGAAAATGAACACAGAGTCCTGCTATTTCTGCTATAAGGCAAATTTTGGGAATCTGGTTTGTCCTGGCATTATACAGGAACATAAATGTTCCTCACTCTCAGGTTGTGTCCGCTTCCCAGCTGTTAACTGAGTACTTGGATTCATATCACAAGTGTATTTGTTAGGTGGCCTTTTTGTTCCTGCAGAATAAAATACTGTTGCTGTTAAGCATCTAGGAGACCTACCTGAACTGTAATTGTAAATAACTTTTGGGGAGGACAGAGGTTGGAAAGCATTCATATGTGCAAAGTTAGAGAATGGTGAATATCTTTTTCTCGGTCCATGTGCAGAAGTACAAATGTTTAATCTGTACTACGTAGTTCTATACCTAGGCATGAAATATTAGAATGGTCAAGAAATAATAATTGTCTTGCAGAGCGGGTAGCAAGAACTCAGCTTGCTTACTAGAAAACCCGTGATACATACAACAAGCAGAGAGTATGTGAAATTAAAAGGTAAAAATGGGCTGTGAGAGGAATTTTCTGTAGCTATCAGTAACGGTTGGTCTTCCACAGACCCAGCTGGCAGGTAAAGTGGGTAGTTGGGAGCTAGCAGTTGTAGTGGCTGGGATAAGAGAGGAAGTCAGCTAGCAGTGTTCTAGTGGCATCTCTATACTTGGTATTTTGGATAACATAAGTTCTGAGGCTGATGAACTGTGGTCTCTAGCTGGAACTTCATAACAGTAGTAATGGACTGAGTTGAGTCTCTGTTTTGGATTGAGTCGAAATCCTTTTTGGCTTTGAAATTCAGGTTAGCTTTTTTTTTCCTCCCCAAAGTAGACTTTCGTGTAGGTGGAGCCTTTCTCTTTTTACTGCTATGCTGTCAGTTTTTCCTGCCAATGAAATGAATCAAAGAGTTATAGATTGGATATAGTTGGAAGGACCCGTAAAGATCACCTAGCTTAATCCCTACTGCCATCCTTCCAACTCTGTGGATGTCCTCATGAAGGCAGCAGATTTTCTTCTGTTTCAGCCAGCTCAGATTGGCCATTCCTAAACTCAGAAACCTGAAATGTTTGTATAGTAAATAGAAAGTGTGTGACTATATTTCTGGGCATATGCAAAAATGATGTGGTTATTTTCCTCTTTGTATATATCTATGACATTTCATATCCCCACTTGGTTCCAACAGCAGTTGACCTGTGCAGAATGATTACAGGAGCAGTTATTGAGCTGCACTGGGTTTGGACTCTGAGTTTGTCTGTTTATTAGAATCATTGGCAGCTGTTGAGGATAAGCCTCCTCTTCTCCTGGGCTAGAAGGCTCCAGTGGAAATGACCACTGAATTTGTGAGTTGCTAGCCCTAAACAGTTTTTACCTTATATTTCGTGAAGATCTGATAAGCAAGGATCACTTTTCGTCAAATTGACCTCACAGAAATCTTAATTGTATCCTCCTTTAGTTTGAATATTACTATGCCCCTTAAAATTTTAGCATAAGCATAGTTTGTTTTTCTAACTGCAGAAAAAAAAAAAAAGAATTAAACATGGGACATATATTTTCCACTGCTTTTGAAAATGCAGCTTCTGCTTTCTAATGAGTTACCTATACACTGTGCAGTAAAATTTTCATCCTTCCCCTTGTAATTGCACACAAAGTCATTATGTTTAGTTTTACTCAACGGATTGGTAAAATGAAGCTGTTTGAGAAGGGAGGAGGGCTGAACTTTTGTAGAAATTCCAAACAGCTCTGCACTGAATCATCAGTCCCAAGAGCACAGACATTCCACAGAAATGTCAGACAGTCCTTCTGGCATATTAATGAGGAAGCAGCAATGGGTTTTCAGTCATGCTTATTTTAAAGTTCTTGCTCAGCTTCCAATAAAAATTCTTAGCATTCAATAATAGAACAGTTTAAGCAAATCCAAATTCAGGATAAGGATACAGTCCAGATTTGGGCTATTTCAGTCATGAAATAGTGGGGGGAACCTTGCCTCTAGTGATGTGTTTGTGTGTTACTACAATCACACTCCTTTCCTCAGCTTTTACAACCAAGACAAAGAAAATCCTGTAAGTCTACAACTATTCTAACTACTATGAGACTTCTCCTATTGGAAGATTGTGAATTTTAGCTTACTGTATAGTTATGCACTGGTTTATCTTTCAATACTTGGAAGTAAATTTTGCCTTCAAATTTTCTTTGAAGTAAGATTTGTGCTTTAGTTTGAAATTTTTGTCACAGATCAACCTTGAGAAATAAAAGGAACAAAATATATATTCAGGAACAATAACTTACTGAAGAGGTAGAATGGGAGATTAGGTAGTTAGTGTGTTGGTGATTTTTTTTTTTTTTTTTTTTTTTTTTTTTTTNTGGCCAAGTATGGCAGAGTTGCTTTGGGTATTTTTCATTAACTTCCTCATGATTATATTTTCATGTTTAGATTGATTTATGCCTTTTGAGAATCAGTTTGTCTTTTGAAGTCGCAAAAGCACAGTTTCAAGGCTATTTTACACAATATGCGTTTCCCATCAAAACCAGTATATCCAGCTATAAAATCATTGTTACTGAGAGTATAATTCTGCAAGGATACATAAAGTGGTATATGCCATATTTTTATTACCAACTGGTGTGTTGGTTATTTTTATGGTTTGTTTTGAGGGTTTTGTTTTTGTTTTGTTGTTTTGTTTTTGGTTTGTGGGTTTGGGTTTTTTTTTTTTTTTTTGTCAAAGGATTTTTTTTTAAATTGAATGCAATGCAAAAAAAACTCCCATTCAGGTATCACTGAAGTTGAATGTCTAGAAATAATAGGAAGTGCAAATGGGAATGTTAACAGAGTGAGTTCAATATAGGCAAATTGTGTTTCCTTTTATTTAACAAGTACAAGAGGTGGTGTTGTCAAAGTCTTGTATTCTATGAAAATCAATTCCTTGGGCTTCCTTAATCTGGGAATAAGAAAAAGTGAATTGACCTGTTTTCGTTGCAAGAGCTGAAGGTTTGTCTCCAAGACATGAGTCTGTAACACCATAATTGCTAGCTTGTGGGATTAGTTGTTGCGACATGTCTGAAATTAATGTTTTTATTAAATTTCAGTTCACGTATTTGATTTGTTTCATAGCATACATGGTAACTGAAAATACTGTGATAAAACAAAAACAAAATCCAAGACAACAGAAACTACTGCTCTTCCCTCCCTTCTCTATTCACCTGCAAAATCCAAAAATTCTAGAAGCAACATTACCTGGTCTGAGCTACAGACATGGTCCAGCGTGCATGTAGTACCCTATGGATGCATTGCTGGATATTTGTACTCTATGTAATGCAGCATTATATAGAACTGTTACTGTGATTAACCACAGATGGATTTCTCAGTCTTGGTAGTGAGTAACAATACAACAAAACATGTAATTTGTAAGTTCAGCTAGAAGGGGAAATTATTTTCTTTAAGAATACTGGTGTCCTTGTACTTCAGCAGTCTTCCACTGGTCTATGGTATTTCTTCATCCTCTTAACTATTTATCTAGTATGTCCTGAGTTACCACCAAGTAAGTTCAAAATACTACTTTCACTTTTCCCCTGCCAGCATTTGCCATTCAGAGAAAACAGTGGTGTTTAGCTATGTCCACAAATCCAAAATAGTGCTGTAACAAGCATATGCAGTGTTTGCAGCACTTGGAGTTAACAGTTTGAGACCAATTGCTTATAAACTGTCAGTGTTGGAGATGTAACAGAGCAATACAACATAACTTCTTTGATCTAATCCAAAGACTTTATGCTTAGTCTATGATAACATCCTCGCCATCTTTCCTGTGATAACATTCCTTCAGTGGTCACATTTGTGGGAGAGTCAGTGTGTCATCAATGGAAACGAAAGATGGAGGACAATTGTGTGAAGGATACCAGTTAACATAAGAAATTGGCCTTTCCTGACTCACATATAAAATACAGAAAACTCTAAACAAAACTTGTCCCCTGGGTACAGGTCACTAAACATCAGTTCAAACTGGCATTTAATGAGCTCAGGCTCCTCAGATAATAGTGAGATCCTTTGCTGATATGATGATGTAGTTGTCATGGTTACAAAAGGACCAGGTGCTAAATACAAAGTATCAGAAAGATGAAAATGGAGAAAATCAGTGTCCTAACAGAAAACATTGCAGAGCAGATAAGATGATTTGGAGATCGGGAAAAAATAAAGGGAATGGTGGCAGCAACTAGGGAATTCAACAGCAGATTAGAGGAAAGAAAGTTCAAAGGTAGATAATCAGAGACATTTGATTCAGAAGCAGACCTGGAGGGAACTTGACATGCTTGTGTTTGTAATCAATGAAGAGTCTTCAAAGAGGAGTCTGGAAACAATATTCCCTAGCAAAAGTCTCTTTTGGCTTATTCTCTTTGAAGCTTTGCACGGTATACATTAATAACGTATTGTGGAAGACAAAGTTATGTTCTGATACTGAAGTATGGACAGTGAATTTTTCCCACAAGATAATACAGCTACTGGCATAGGTGAAACATAGAGGTAACTATGTGATGTTGGACATGAGATTTGCATAGAGCATTCCTGACTCTGCCCTCTCCTGTTGTTCATGTTTTTGGCAAGTTCCATCTGAAAGATGTAGATCTCAAAGATGCAGCTGTAGATGTAGCTCTGTGTTCTCTGCCCTGGTTTTGAGGCAGTAAATATTTAGATGCCCTTTTTTTTTTCTTTTTTTTTTTAAGTTGGTGAAAGCTAAATGTACCTTTTGTTCTGATGAAAAGAATAGCTAAGATGTTCATGTGAGCTTTATAGCAGGATGTGAGTTAATATCACACTGATTCCCTGAGCAAGTGGGTTGGGATCTTCAATTAATTCCTGCAGCAGGATGGGAAATCAAGTTTCCATGGATACTGAGCCAGCAGCAGCACTGACACTCACAGCAACTGCAAGCTTAGTTTCCTTAAAGCTTGCTTCCTAAGGAGGATTTGCCCCCTTGCCCCTGGCCCCCCTGCTCTCTATTCTGTATTTGAAAATAAAAAAATTGAAGACAGATG